GTAGACTTTCCTCCTCTGCTGCCTGAGCCATTGGTCAGGTTGCCACTGCCATTCCAACTTCCCATACCAACATCACAGCAGATCGTGACCTTTTCGCCTTTAACATGTGATCCAATTGTTCATGTCCCCATTTTTGAAGTTTGCTCCTCCGGCCAAGGGTATCTGGTCAGTGCAGGCCCTACCATGTCAACCACCTTTCCATCATTAGGCTCAGATCTTGTCAAACCTCTGATATCAGATGTGGAATCAGCAGTCGAAGAAGGTGCTAGGGAGACACTTCGCTTGCTCATCAGTAGTTCCAACCTGCCTAATCCACAGATGCTTGATGTATTTCCCTCTGTGCTGACCAGCAGCAGCCATAAGCAAAACATACTTGCCATAAGCAATAGCATCACAGCTATGGGCATGGTTCCATTCTCGGATAAATCTTTGGAAGGTAGCATTCGCAAAGGATGTATTAGGAGAGATGATTCTGTTGATCAAAAAGGGAAGCCTGCTGGTTTTGGGCCGTCTTTTTTTGAAGATTATTGCTCTGACTCAAGAGATGAAATGACGGACTGATTGAGAAACTTGGTTGCGTATGCTAGTTTGTGGATTCAGTTTTATCAAATGGAAATGTGGATATATGGGTGTAGCTTTCTATGTTCAGAAATATGATTAATCTCAAAGTGTAAAAACTCATTTCCTTTTTTGCCTCTAAAAGATAGGGGGAAAATCATTGTTTTTTCATCTTTAACGGTAAAATTAGTCTATTTTTCATTGGGGGATTGACAACAGCAGAGCTTTTATAGTCTCTGAAAGAATGCTAAATTATCATTCGACAAATTCTGGCGCTCTGCATGTTGCTATAATAAATTTTAGGGCTTTTTAGTGGCCTCAATTCTTATTTGACCAGCAAATTTCAGAAGCACGTAAAATATATTTATTTTTGAAGTTAAAGGCGCATTAAACATCTTAGAAGGAGATTTGATTTTAAAAGATGAAAAATGATGTCAGTCTGTGTACTTCAGCCTCAAATCAAGGTGAAAGAATTTGAACCTATGACTGTATCCAGGGATATGGTCAAGAAATCATTTAGGAATGAGCTAAAATTAAAAATTTGTAAATAGATTCACGTTATAAAAGATTGAGTTTAAAAAGACTATCATGATTATATTCATGATAAATATTACCAGACACTTAATAAAATAGAAGTCTAGATTTTCATCTTAAGATATCTCAATCGATATTCGTACTTTTCTTGCGAAATACGAAATTGATGCACACCTCAGAAAAAATAAATTGATAGAAGCATGATAAACTTAGGCAAATGATATTTATCCACCAATCAAAAACTAAAAAAAAAAAAATAATAGTACTTAAGAATTTTATCCATGTTTGATTCAGCTTCTATAACTTATATATATAATCTTATTATTTATAGATAAATAAGTTCTTATAAATATTTTTTTTATTATAACATTAAATATAAAATAAGTTGCTTATTTTAGCTCTAATCAATAAAATTTTATTTATTATAAAAGTTCATGTACAATTATAAGTAAAATATACATTAAATAAAATAAAAATTGGAAATAAAATTGTTCACATTTTATTAATATCATGAAAGAATAAATGGATAATTGGACTAGGGTTGAGACACAATATGAAGTTGAGCTAAACATAATTATTTGGGCCAATTTAACTGTAAAATCCTTTTTTCTTACCATGGCCTAGCCCCTACTAGATCCGTCTCTTTCTGTACCCAAAATATACGTGCTAATCAAACTATGCTACATCTCGTCTCCCCACCCCAAATCATAATAGATATGATCTAACTTAATTTAAGAGCATTATGTTGGTAAACATGAACTATTGCCATCATCTACTCCACTTATAGAGAAAATTATTTACTAGGAATTCGAGATTATTTGAATTAAATGAGTTGACACCAATTTAAGTGTAGAACAGAGGACTCCCAAATCCAAGAATAAATCTCCCTGTCCCGGGTTGGGGACAGGGATAAAAACAGGGGCACCTGCCAAGCATCTCTCCAAAATCCAAATGTAAGCCTCATGTGAAAGAATTGATTTCCATTTATAGAATACTTTGAATAGATGAATCAATTCGAAAAGAACTCAAATGTGGAAGGATGGATCCTCAAATTTTACACACCGTATCCACATCAAATCAGGAATAATTGGTTAGTATTGATGGATCCCACGAAATATTCACATTTACCCTCATACTTTTATTCCAATAAAATATCTTCTCAATGAAATAAATAAGTAAATTAAAAATTTTGAATAGGTTAGCCAATGGGGAAAGGGCAGCAACGTTCAAAGAGTATTTGTATTGCAGCCAAGAAGATATGGGCAGATCCTGTTGACCTATTTTTTTGTAGGGGTGACGTGGTCAATAGATTCTGAGTTCTCTCTCGTCCACATGAGCCTTTT